TGTTAAGATGTGAACATAATTATATTTAGAATTATTGTAAATATTTTATACTTTAGAATATTCTCTTTGTATACTTTATACCTTAGAATATTCTCTTTGTAAACACCTATATATAAGTTATTGTACATACTGTATAATTCAAGAAAGCAATAAACCTTTCTTCAGATATTTCTCCTTCTTTTCAGTTTCTAACAATTCATATGGAATTGGTTTGACCTCGGTACGTAGAAATGCTTTGGTATAATAAAACTAGCTGGTGACCTAATTGTATGCAGGAATCTATCACTCAAAATATGTTGAAGTTACTACTCCTTTTGGTCTTTTTTAGTATATTTAGTTTGACTTTTATATATACATATATATATATTTTTTAATTTAATATTTTTATATTTTATAAATGAAAAAACATACAATTTCTTTCTATACATACTTTTAATAAGTTCATTTAGATTAAGTAATTTTTTCAATTATCATTGATACTATATAAAAATGTAAAAAGTACTTCTTAAGAAACAAGTTGTACACATCCATTCCATACGTCTTTTCTTTTGCGGCCAAAGGTGGGTCGTTACCCACTCATGGTTAACACCATGAGACATGAGTTGCACGCAATGACAACTTTTCCAAGGGGAATATTTAGTGGAAATTTCTTTTGATTGCCCGCAATGACTAAGCCTAACGATTGGATGTATGCTTTTTCCAAGGGGAGTATTTAGGGGAGTATTTCTTTTCATTAGCATATATAAACTTAAAAATAGGCCTAAACCTTTCTATCCTTATAATTTAAACACAAAATGACAATTCTACCCTAATGTTTATCCAATTTCAAAGATATTTTGTTAAAAATAAAAAATAAAATTACCTCTTTTTTTGGGTAAATAAATCACAATTTCACTTCTTCTTTTTTTTTGAAAAGTAGATATTTATCTATATATATATATAAAATGCTACCCTATGCATTAAATAGGGGAAGCATTTTATATATATACATGCCCAGCACAATTCAAATTCTTCTTTTCCATCAGTTATCACATAATTAATTTTAATTAATTAATAATAAGAATAAACATTGTAACTGATACACTTGTGAAATGTAGAGTAACGGATACACTTCCCCATCATATACCATCATTGACATCGCATACCATAAAAGCATGACCCTCCCTCCTCTCCTATAAGTTCCCCCCTGCCTTCGATTTCTTTCTTCGTACAATTCTCTGTTCTCTGCTAATTGCCTTAGCTCAATTCAATATTCAAGAAAAAAAAAGTTTCAGTAAATGGGTGAGGTGAGTTTGCCGCATTCTTCTTCTTGTCTTATCTTCCTCTATGAATCTTGAAATTTTCTTGGATTTGGACTTAATTGTTTTATTTGGTATTTGACAAAAAAGGAGAAAGCTAAGCCCACCTATGCCAGCAATGGAGATAAAACAAAGCCGACAAGAAGAAGAAACCCGAGGAGACAAATGAAGGGAAGAAACCAGCAAGTGAAAAGAAGGAAAAACATGGCGGAAAGAGAGGAAAGAGGGGAATTTTTGTGGGATTTGTGGGAGTTAAGCTTTAGCTCCAAATTTTGGGAAAGAAAAAGTACAATACATTTTTTATAAATCCAATTTTTTTTTAGAGAGTAGACAATTAATTGCTTAATCATATATGTTACTGATAGATATAAATTCATATGTCTGATATTTTGTAATTAAAACCATATTGAATTACAAAATAATAAAATAATAGTCATTAGATGAGTATTTTTTATTTTTT